ACCTGCGGTTATTCTACTAGTTGACTAATACATTTGACTTACGAAAAAAATGACCAAGTAAAGAAAAATATTTTTAATTTGTTTGAGAAAAATTCTTTAACTTGAAAACAATTTTAAAGTAAATAAAATGTGTTCGCAAAAAAAGCGTTAAAGAACATATCATTTTTAAGAACAAAAAAATTAACTTGATTAAAGATATAAAATTTGACCAACATACTTGATTAATACAATAAATGAACACAAGACTTTGTTTAAAAATAAAATTTACTAAAGTAAACCAACACAAAAAAAATAATTTATCTTGAGGTAATTTGACTAAGTTGATTAATAATTCCACAATTAGAGTTAATAAACAAAAGCCACAATTAAATAACTCAAGAGTTAAGGAAAAATATTAATGAGAAACTTACATAAATATATTACAAATTAAAAACATTTACCATTTATAGCAATAATATATTTTTTTCATTCTATCACCTTTGATATATTTGTAATACACTTTAAATTCATATTACAAAAAATAATTTATTATTCACATAAACACATGTTTTATTGATGAATAATACATTTATCTTACATTTTAATATTACACTTATAATTCAATGTGTCAACTTCTTACCAAACATGCATAATATATTTTATAAAATAGTTATAATACATATTATTGCATACTTAATTCACTTTTAATACATATTACAGATTTAACATAGTATTGCTATACATTGTAATAAATTAAAAATATCGCTAAAATCAGTAATTATTTATTAGAAAGCATCTATCCATAGTAATTTTTCCAATATTAAATTTGGGTCTTTTTGCCCAAATTTCAAATATGATGGGCTTTTGACCCACAACCTGTCCTATGTCTAAAGATGGGCTGAACAACACAAAATGGGCCTCAACCCTTTCGCTTTTCCTGTCCTTGTCACACCCCTTTTTTGCGCGGCGTAAGGGTTTTTCCAATTTAAGTGACGTTATTAATTAAGGGATTATTTTGATTTTTTCAGAGTCGCCCATTGAGTTATGGTGTTCCAAGTCACCCTTTTTGTTTAATCCCTAATCAAAAGGAAATGACTCTTTGTTTGGTCTGCGAATGAGTTCGGGTAAGGAATTCTGTTGACCGAGGGGAAGGTATTAGGCATCCCTCGTGTCCCGTGGTTTTAGCACGGTCGCTTTATGGACATTTATGACTTAAACTAATTTATGAATATTGTATTATTAAGACAAATGTATTTACCCTCTTTCTTTGATTTATTTAAATATATTAAAAACTACCTTATTTTATTAATTCATGCCCTTTAATTAAAAATATATATATACACATATAAATTAAATCAAGCAAAGCAGAATAAAATAAGATATTTTTTATTATTTTTATTTCTTTTGTTATTATTATTATTTTTTATTTTTTATTCTATTTTTTACATTTTTTTTTACTTTCTCATCTTTTGCTATTATTTTTATTTATTGTTATTATTAATTTTTATTCTTTCAAGGTTTCATTTGTTTTGATTTTTTTTTATTTCAACTCTTTTTTTTTGTTTGGACAAAGAAACTTTAAATTAAAAAAAATAAAATAAAAATTATTTCCTCTTCAATTGATTTTTTAATATTATTTTTATACTTCTTTTCTATTATTTTTTGTTTTCTCTTTTCCCCTCTTTTTTATTATATTCATTTTCACTGTTTATTTTTTATTTAAACTTTTCCCTTTTTTCTTTTTATTATTATTATTATTATTATTATTATTATTATATTTTTTCTTTCTTCCACTTTTATTCGATTTTTTTTTACGTCATTAACATTACACGAAAATTCTACTAACTAAAATTAATATTTACATAATAGCTACACATGTTATTATTATAAACTAAATATTAAAAATAAGAATAGACTTAGACAATAATTTTACTTAGGCATGAAATAAACTATGAATTATTTAATATGATATAAGCTACGGTTTGTTATAGCAATCTCACACAAAATAAAACTATATAAAGGATCTAAACTAAACATAAAGTTGATATTAAATATTTGAACAAACTTCATATAAAACATAACGGTTTAACCACATGTGAAACTTGACAACTTTATTATATTGTAATCAGTGCTTGTATAAACATGATATTAAATTATATAAAAAATAATTAAAAAATGGTACCTCTTGCGAAAATTCCACCAAAAGAAAACAATTCGAATAAAGAACCACGAAAGTAAACCTCCACTTCAACCTTTGTTTGTGATTTTCAAACAAAAAGTAAGAATATGAGAATAATATTTTTTACGTATGTGTTGCTTT